TTGTATCTTGGGAGACAGACGTCCATAATCCCGTTTGCACTTCACTGGGGGGCGAAATCTGTTTTAAGGAGATTTGCTTTGACATACCTCGCTTCATCTACTGTTTTCTATTTTTTTGCTTATTTTATTTGTTCTTTTGATTGCGTTAGTCGAATTTTCGACAATAATTAGTGTAAGAACAACCTCGGTTATAGAACAAAGAGTTCCCCTAAGGCAAACACAAAATAAAACCTAGAATTTTCGGAGGCTTAGCCTCATTAAATTTGAGCGGAAGGATTCCGAACATAGTACACCTGTTACATTAGAAATCCCGCGAGAAAACCTAAGGATTTACAAAGAAGAAATGACAAGTCACGTTATCACAAAAGAATCGAAGACTTTAGCCCACTTGATATCAAAATTCTAAGTCAAGAATGCACGACCTGATTGTCAATTAGAGTTAGTACAAGATAAACAACACACTAGAGTTGTGGTGGGACAATCAGGGGCAAGAGTGAGTGCCTAACCAAATTCGATTCAATAGAAACCTAACACTGGTGAGGCCACCTTAACGAACTAGCCAATGAACAATGAGTTCTAATCTGAACATATTCCAATTCCATTTCATAACAAACTGATCAAGAAGAAAGCAATAACTAGTGGGTTGTTTTAAAACCAAATTCACCCCATCTTGATTAATTATTCTTGGGCAATCAAAAAATGTTCAATGCTTCTTAGATCTAGCCAGTAATTAAGGCCTTGTTTGATCCCCATTTTGGGGGGAAAATGCATTTTTGAATAGTGTATTGATGAAAAATGTGGGGTTAAAAAATAAAGAAAAGTTTAGGATTTGCGTGTAATATTATTTTAATGAAGAATGTGATTGAAATAAGGTCAAATCATTGTTGAAGAACGTATTTTTATGAAAATTATGGGGTTCAAACAAGGGCTAAATATACGTGTTTAGGGCTTAGTGGACGATCATTTTGATATCCTTAGCAAAATACAAGCTCGATATCTGTCTCTTTCATGTTCCATCCGTAATATCCTTAGTACCCACCATCAAGATTAATCAACATCAAGATATAGTACCCATGAAAGTGGTCTACAGTGTAACCATATATGTATGTACCTACATATACATTTATTATTTATCAATTTCACCGGACGACATGTAGTCGTCCAAGCAAAATATCTCACTATGAGTAGTGTTGATGGGTTTTGATATCTTTGATTTATTCACGTTCCTTGAGTAGTCGAGATGATGAGGAATTTTCAAAAAGGCAATTTTCATATGTTTGAAGAAAAGAGAGATCCCAAATTGTCCGTCTTACTTTTAGTGGTTGACTATGTTTAAAAAAATAATAATAAATTTTATATATATATACGAGCTTGAGCTCTTAAATAAGTTGATATTTTAAAATGGAACTCCAGATCTTAATGTGATACCAAAGTCCAATAAACTTCAACGGACAACTAAATTCAACGAAGACTCAAAATGAGCACACAAATTCTAAGATTAATGTGCTCAAATGAGCCATTATCTTGTAATGATATGATTTTACTAATCCTGCAAATTGAACCACTGTACAGCACAATATTTCAATAACTAAAACAACTTAATTAAGATAGTGGAATTAGCTTTGCAAATTGGACTATGAATCAAAAGGCCAATGAACAAAATTGAGCAATACTAGTTACCAATGAGAATATGGAGAAACGTGGATATATATTACAAGCTTTCCATAACTACTTATTCAAGGTGACATTATTAATTATGTGGAGTGTGCTTTCTGGTTATAATGAAAAAAGTGTAATCTTTATAATTCAGAAATGTGTCAAAGTGGCTAAAGTTGATTTGATCCCACCTCTCTGAAACTACACCAAATTACCATACCAAGACCGAGTTACTGCTGCTCGTCAACAATTCCCCTTTTACTCAACCAGTCGAATCACTAAATCCAACTTTCCTCCTATTAAGACCTGGGGTTTCATCTTAAAAGGTTAATCTTGTTAAGAGAAGTAGCCCAAATCCTTATAAATTAGTCTATGTTTTCATCCTTATTCGATGTGAGATTATATCTTTTAACCTGCCCCGAGAGATGGTGGCTCGTTTGAGTAGACTAATCTTAAAATCCATGTACTCATTTTTGAGTCTTAATCGGATCGAATTACTTGTTAGAGCTTAATGGGCTCTCATACCATATTAAAATTTTGGGTTCCATCTTAAAAGGTCAACACTGTTTAGAGGAGTAGTCCAAAACCTTATAAGTTGGTCTATATTTTCATCTTTATTTGATGTAGGATTATATTCCTTAGTACCCCCTAATCTACAAGTGAGTCAACAAATTTCCCTTCTACCCAGTAACATAGATCGCTAATCCCAACTTTCTTCCTTACTCGACAAGTAAATATTGCAGTGAAAACTTACTTCTGCCTCCTGAGATCATGAACGAGCAATGGAAAATGCCCAATGTATGGGGCATTTTCTTATAGAGGTTTTACAGGGAAGACACATGGGGTTGGCCCCATGTGATTTTTTTATTGAGGTGGACCCCACTAATGTGTGTATTCTGTGAAATGTCTGTATATTTTTCCTCTGTAAGTGTAGCACTATTGACGAGCAATTCCAGCGTGCCACAAATGACCTATCCTCTCCGGACCAGGCACACCAATTATTGTCAAATGTCATTAGCAGATTAGGCTGAATGATTACTGGGGCCATTTTATTTAGTGGGCTTTTTCTAGTCCACCAAAAAGGGAGAACAGAGAATATATTTTCCTGATCTTGAAATGTTCTTTCCAGCCCTGTTATTACTTGTTTATTACCAAAGTTGCATTAAATTATATTACTTTTTAATCTCACAAATATCCTTTCTATCCCACACTCAAATAACATAAGGGTTAATTTCACAAACAGTCACTGAATTTACGCGAAAATTATAAAACGATCACTGAAGTTTAAAATTTTCAATAAGTGCTTTCAGAAACGGTCATGAAGTTTAAAAACACTTTTTCAATTTTTGAGCTAATTTTGCGACAGCTTTTCGGCCACTTTTGACCATCGATACCGTCAAATTTTCATGCTGTTGGAAAGCCCACAATGCCCTCTTCAATTATAATCCAAAATTTCCCCGTAACTCTAAGGGATTCGACCAAAAAATCATTGCAAAAGTCACCCAAAAAATCAGAAAATTTGCTCAGATTTTTAGATTTTTTGGGCGACTTTTGTGGCGATTTTTTGACGACTTCCGACCACCAAGACCGACGATTTTTGATATCTTTGTAAAGCCCAAAATGTCCTCTTCAATTACAACAAAAAATGTCCCTCAAACTCCAAAGGATTCGGGTGGAATAAACTCACAAAGTCGGCTACCCAGAAGGCAAAAATCTGGGCAGATATTTCAAATTTTTTGGGTTACTTTTGAGGCAACTTTCTGGTAACTTCCGACCACCAATACCACCAAATTTTGATACCATTGGAAAGCCCACAATGTTTTCTTCAATTATCACCAAAAATCTCCCCTTAACTCCAAAGGAGTCGGCCGGAATAAGCCTACAAATTTGGCTACCTAAAAAGGAGAAAATCTGAGCAGATTTTTCAGTTTTTGGGCGATTTTTGCGGCAACTTCCGATCACCAAGACTGCCGAATTTTGTACCATTGGAAAGTCCACAATCTCCTCTTCAATTACCACCAAAACATGCCCATAAATTCAAAGGATTTGGTCGGAATAAATTTACAAAGTCAACATCCCGAATCTGGGTAGATTTTCGCCTTTTTGGGTAGTCACCTTTTTGCCCAGATTTTCAGATTTTTGGGCGACTTTTACAACGATTTTCTAGTGACTTCCGACCAACAAGATCTCCGGATTTTGATATCTTTGGAAAGTCCACAATGTCATCTTCAATTATCATCCAAAATCTCCCCAAACTCCAAAGGATTCGGCTGGAATAAATTCACAAAGTCGGATGCCCAAAAAGGTCAAAATCTAGGTAGATTTTTTTAGATTTTTTGGGCTATTTTTGAGACTACTTTCTCGTAACTTCCGACCATCAATACCACCGGATTTTGATACGTTGAGAAGCCCACAATGTCCTCTTCAATTACCACCAAAATTTGCTCCCAAGCTCCAAAGGAATTGGCTAGAATAAACCCATAAAATTGGCTACCCGAAAAGGCAAAAATCTGGATAAATTTTTCAATTTTTTGGGCGACTATTGTGGCAACTTTTCGATAATTTCTGACCACAAAGACTGTCGGATTTTGATACCGTTGGAAAAACCCACGATTTCCTCTTCAATTAACACCCAATAATCTCCCCATAAATCCAAAGAATTTGGCCGAAATAAACCCACAAAATCAGCATCTTGAATTTGGGCAAATTTTTGCCTTTCTGGGTAATCGATTTTGTGGGTTTATTTTGACCGAATCTTTTGGAGTTTGGGGGAGATTTTGGATGGTAATTGAAGAAGACATTGTGGGATTTCCAACGGTATCAAAATTTGGTTGTCTTGGTGGTCGAAAGTCGCTGGAAAATCTTCGCAAAAGTTGCCCAAAACATCTGAAAATCTGGGCAGATTTTTTGGGCTAATTTTGAGGTGATTTTCCGGTTGAATCCCTCTGAGTTACGGGGAGATTTTGGGTCGTAGTTGAAATAGATATTGTGAACTTTTCAATGGTATCAAAATTCAACGGTATCAGTGGTCGAAAGTGGCCGAAAAATTGCTGCAAAAGTAGCCCAAAAAATTGAAAAAAGTGTTTTTAAACCTCAGTAACCGTTTCTGCAAGTTTTCAAACTTCAATGATCATTTCTGCAAGTTTATAAATTTCAATGACCCTTTTTAAAAGCTCCCAGAAACTTAAGTGACTATTACTGAAAGTTTTAAATTTTATTGACCGTTTTGTAATTTTTGCGTAAGTTCAGTGACCGTTTGTGAAATTAACCCAATAACATAACATAGACTTCACATATATAAGACATAGTTTGTACAAAATTCTCCTTATTACATCAAACTGAGGTTTAGGTTTGTACACTTAAGATTAATTGATGGAGACTTCTCATGCTTCAAGCCCTTCTCATCAATATCCCAAAGCAATTCAACTTAAGCTTTACCAGGCTTTTATATTCTCAATTCCCATACTCTTCTCCATCATTCTATTTCTGTTATTTTATTTGTTCTACCTCAAGCGACGAGCTTCGAACTTTTCGGCAACTCCACCAATTCTCCCAAGGACTATTTATGACTCCACACCTCAAGTTACAACGGTAAGAACCACACCTCCCGTCGATTGTGCATCTTTCTATACAAAACTCATTCAAAAGTTCAAGTATTCGATTTCGTCTTTAGCATACAACCTTAGTGACGAAACTTGAACTTGTAACATTAGTATGCTCTTATATATACTTTGTTGTACGTGATGATTTTCTTGTTTCATGTCCAGTCATTTGATTCAGATTTGAAAGCCGAGCTGAAAAACCAGCTTTCCACAGTCTTGTTTGATGAATATCTAAAAGCGAGGGATTCAGTGTAAGTTCTCGACTAAGCAACTCAAAAATGAATTTTATCGACCAAAATTGTCATCGTTAAACAGAGAAATTTGTTTCTATTAGTTGATGAACCAATCATTTGCTAATGCATTGATCATAAGGATGCTGGATCGAGTATGGAAATGGACGATTCAGGTTGATTGTTGATGAGAATTTGAGACCTAAAAGTGCCCCAGAAAAGGACATTTCCCTAAACCCACTAGAAGGCCTTCACTAGTTTTTATTCTTTTGTATAATAATGGTTAACAGTAGCTTCAGCTAAGGTTGAACTACATGTGTTACACGATATGACAAAAATGACAAAAATGTTGATCACCTCACACGCTGTCGACCAAACTCTACTTTTAGCAGTTTTGCACAAATATTTGCTTGATAGTTCATTAGAATCTCTAACAGCATCCACCCTTTCTCAGGTTTGTTTTGAGTAAATTATATCTTAAAAGAAAATGAATTATATTGTTATTCTTCTTCTATGTTTCTCATGAAAATTAAAGAGAATGGCGTTTTTAATTAGACGAATGTTAATTATAATTGCAGGTGCTGTGTGTGCTTGGGAGAATTTGAGATAAAAGAGGAATTGCTTCAAGTGATATCGTGCAAGCACGTGTTTCACATAAACTGTATTAGACATTGGCTTCAATCCCATTCTACTTGTCCACTTTGTAGAACCCTGGTCGCAACTGCCTGCTAATGAATTCACCGCACGAAGTTGTACATATCACGCAAGCCATAACAACTACAATTACAATGTAGGAATTGAAATTGAGGATCTCAATTGCTAGCTAGTAGCATATGTTCACAAATTTTTTATTGCATAACAACTACAATTACAATGTAATCTTTTATTGCAGTAAATTTAAAAAATGTGAAATAGAAATCAATTCACAAATGCAATTAATTCAAACATAAATATTGGTGTCTGATTGAAAATTTCCACCATTATGCCCTAATCTTCTCGAAATGAGAAAGCCTTTCAAGAAATCCCAAAAATCATATTAGAAATCAGTCTTCTACGAACATCAAGCACTTTAATCTCTACCATTATTCCACAAAATCAAGCTCGATGAGGTGACTAAATTGGTGATGATTGACTCATATGGGAAGGCGGAGAATGTGGATTGGTTAGGAGTTTGTATGATTCGTGCAAGAATTGAAAAATGGCGTGTTAATGTTGTCTCTTTCTCACGTTAGTTAAGATTTATGAGGCATCTAAAAATTTGAATGGGTGCTTGAATGTGTATGAAGAAATGTTGAGACCGAATTTCTTTATAATTATATTTCGTGATGGGCAAAATACATATGAAAATTATATATAGGGCTATGATCCTCAATTTGTATGTAAGAATAATTCAAAAATCAAGAAGAAGAATTTAACAATTCAACAATCCATAATCAAGAATCAAGATTAAAGAACCAAAAGACAAGATTTAATTATTATAATTTAATATTCACTATTCAAGATACAAATCAATGGTTGAAGGTATGTTTCACATTAATTATTATTATTATTTTTGATAATTTGACATGGAGGATCATGGTAATAAAATAATTAGGGTTTTAAGTTTTTGAGATTTAGAATTCCATAAATATTCATCAAGTGGTATCATAGCCAACTCCATGTTAAATCATTGAGATTCAGGAAAGAACTTTACGGATGAAATTCGTACTTTGGATTCTTTAATTTTTGGATGCAAGTTTTAATCCTAAATTTTGAATTATAGGTTTTTAAGGTGTTTTCAAATATGACAATTTAGGAATTAATCGTGAATTAATTCTTGAATTTGAGTAAGATTATGGGGCTGATTGGGCCCCATTTTTTCACCCAAAAAATTGATTTTTTGACCGTTATTTTACTATTCCAGCCGTTATATTTGACTTCTTCTTTCACAGGTGGACCCCACTTTTCTCCTAACGGTCAAAAAATCAATTCTCAAAATCACTCCCAAACAGGCTCTATAATTGATTACTTTATGTTGTATTCCGAATTCAACATAAAGAAAAAGTTTTACTAATTTTGAATTAAGATTTAAAGCATGAGTAATTAATTAGCCTTCGTTTGGCCCCCATTTTGTGATAATAGAAATGGATGGAATAGTGTTTTTTTAAAAAAATAAATGGTTGAAAAATAAGGAAAAATTTTCAATTTATATATAATATTATTTTATAGAAAATTGTCTAATTAAAAATTGAAAAGAAAAAAATAAAATAAAATAAAATAAAAATTAATAAGAGCCAAACAATAACTTAATAAGGGTCCAAAATAAATAATCATTCTATCTATTTTGGAAATCAAATTATGTGACCATCAGTGGATCATGGGTTCCGTGTTTTAATGGTTCATGTTTGCTCTGACACTAATCATGTGGTCACGTGATTGTGTTGAACTAAGCAATTTAGAAGAAATATCAAGGCTCCCACCCGCATGACTCCATAAGCAATCATGGTAGCGCTGTTCATTGGACGGGACACTTTTAAAAATGGAATAATCAAAGAAGGAAAATTTCCCTTTGACTTGTTTAATTGTTAAAATTATCACAATGACTTATTGAGTATTAAAAAAATAAAAATACCCTTAAATGTATTATATAATTACAAAAGAAGGTATTTTTTAAAAGACATTACTACCTTTTTGTTAACAAATAAAAACCAAACACTTCCCTTTAAAATATCAAAATTAACAAACTTCTCATATCTATTTACTCCAACACAGATAAAAACACTTTCATCTTTCAGCTGCTTTTACCTCAAGGTTTGAAAAATTCATCGAACGCGGTAACTAAAATTTTTTTATATCAACCTCATCAGATCAGTAAGTTTATAATACGTACATTTAATTTTGTTTTTGTTAAATTATTTTACGTTTGCATAGATAAAATTTATTTCGACATATAATGTTAATGTAGATAGTTTTTTAATAGATCTGTGAAAAATTTTAAGCCTTTGATGAGAAAAAATTCATCTACATTAATATTGAAAAATTAATCTGAAAAATGTTTGGTGTGTTTATTCTGTCGGACAGCGAATTTGAACTGCCGACTGTGTAGTTAACAATTGAAAAAATTCGGCTGGACAGCCGAAATATTTAACAACCGGATGTTTGCCTGCTAGACAGTCGGCTGAAATAGTCAAAGCCGGCTGGACAACCGGATCAAACAGCTGGCTGGAACAGTCAGCTGTTTAATTTTGTTTTTGTTTTTATTTCGCTCGATATTTTCTTGCAATTAAAAATTCTTTTTCGTCATGCAGATATGGTTGTAATCCCAGTTTGTTACTTTGGTGATTTCGAATTGAACAAAAGAGATCAATAGGTATAGAAATGGACGAGTGATAAGAGTGGTGGTACCCCAATTTTCATAACCGAAACAACAACATATGTAGAACTCCATAATGTTTTACAGAACAAACTAAATGTTGATCTCTCTTAGTATGACATGAAATTTAAATTTAAATTCAGGGACCAGGAAGTTCCGAGTCCACCTATGACAATTTCTTCTGATATCGAAGTGAATTATCTGTTTGAAATGAACAATAGGCACTCGACTCCTATTTGCGTGACTTTAGTGAGGAAGGATGTCTTCGAAGGTGAACAAGTAGACTCAGATGGAGGGGATCACATTGCTAATGATTTTTGGAATATGGTTCAGATAGCTCGTGAAGATGATGCGGTTATTCCAGAGACAGTTACTGACAAAATTTTGTCCGTAGTTCACGTCAATGAGTGTGAAAATGCAAATACTTTTACAGATGATGATTTGATCGCTTTATTCTGACAAAGACATGAGCGGGATGGGACCTCAGGGACTGAATCAAGTGGACCGTCCTTTAACTCCTCCCGTGTGGTTCTCGATAGTGAGGATTTGTATGTCAAGCAACTGTTTGAAACGAAAAAAGATTTGCAAGAAGCTGTGCACCTAATTGCGCCGAAATACAGCTTTTCAAAGTGAAAAAATTGAACAACTCGTTGTTTACAATTGCCTGCGTAGACAACAGTTGCTGTTGGCATTTGCGAGCGACAAAAATGAACACGAATGAATGCTTTGTAGTTCGCACGTACGCACGGGAATATACTTGTGAAGTGAGAATACATCGAAATGATCACAGGCAAGTTCGAGTTTGGTTTATTGGTCGACGGATAATGCACAAATATTAGAATCCACGTACAATCTACAGACCATCGTACAACATTAACGACGTTCGTCGAGAGTACAGAGTAGTCTGAGCTACCAGAAGACCTGGAAGGCCAAAGAATATGCGTTTGAGGATTTAATGGGTTATGCAGAGGAAAGCTATGCTAAATTGGTTAGGTATTACCATAACATGAAGAAAACTAATCTAGGCTCGAAATTTTTTATTAAGACGGAGGGTGGAAATTGCTTCAAATTCTTCTTCATGGCTCTTGGACAATGCATTCGGGAATTTCGAAATTCAATGCGACCCCTAATTCTAGTTGATGGTACAACACTGAAATCTAAATATCAAGGCAAGTCGATTATTGCTACATGTCAAAATATCAATATCCAAATTTACCCTCTTGCATTCGGCATAGTCGATAGTGAGAATGGCCTGTCGATGCAATGGTTCTTCATAAAGTTAAGGGAAATAATCGGAGAAGTCGAGGACCTTGCATTTGTAACAAATCAGGGACAGCTTTTAATAAATGGTGTCGCTGAAATTTTTCTGAATGCACATCATGGGTATTGCTATACCATATTCAAGGCAATCTGAAGACCAGGTATCGAAGCAAATGTATCGTTTCATTGTTCAAGAGAGCGGCTGAAGCCTACAGTGTTGAAAAGTGTAATAAGTTCATGGTTGAAATAGGAAGTAAATCATTCGATGCATGGGATTATCTAACGAAAATGGGAATTGAACATTGGGCGCTCGTTTTTTCCAGGACGTCGATACAACATGATGACGTCAAACAACGCGGAGTCTCTCAATGCATTATTTAAGAATGATTGAGAATTACCCACTCTTGCACTGATTGAAAATATCCGTACCAAGATGTAGTAGTGGTTTCACGGTCGACGTGTAGAATCACAGAATTGCACGAGCGTGCTAGCCCTAGGGCAAAAGGAAAGACTATTCAAAGTTGTAGAACTTGCGAGACGGTTGAATGTCAAACCACTAGACGAGTCGCGCTTCTCAGTGGAATGTGGCCGTAATACGACATACATGGTGGACTTGACTGATAACACATGCACTTGCAAAAAATTTCAGCTGGAGACTTTTTCACGTGAGCATACAGTCGCGGTTGCCATGTATCGATGATTTGCAGCTAAAACATTGTGCTCTCATTATTACACGACTGATTATTGGAGAGCTGCGTACACTGAGACAATATTTCCTCTGCCGAACGAAGCTGAGTGGGAAGTCCCCGACCATATTCGCTAACTCAATACATTGTTACCACCTTTCATTGAACCGCGTGATCCTGGACCTCCAAGTACGTCTAGAATACCATCTACCGAAGAATTCTCTCGACCGCGTAGGTGCAGTCGGTGCAAATTAGTAGGGCATACTCACCAATATTGTACAAGTCACGTTCGTCTAAATAATAGTTAGATCATTTGGTAATGTTGTCCATCTAAATTAAACAGTGTTTGCATTTATTCTACGATATTTCAAAGGCCGTTGTAGTTAATAATCATTTCATAATCCATTACAGCGTGTTACAAATATTTCGTAAGTACAACAAATCAATATTTACAGCGTTTACTATTATTCCGTAATTACTAAAAATTACAATAAATCTATGGATCACAATTAAAATTAAATAAGTCACACGCCAACTTATTTCATCAACTCTGTATTCAGGATTGGTTGATTTCATCAACTTTATGTGTTATACTCAGAAATTCGATATACTTTATTGCAAAAA